TACGCCGTGTTTTATTCATGTCACTCAAATGTCTTTTGTCATTCAATAGACAGAGACAAAACATGGAGTAACTAATCCAAGCGTAGTCTTTGTTTATTAATAAGGGGGTTAAAGTTTGTGCTTGGGCCTCGGATTGTCGGCGTGGCGCCGTTAATTCAAATCAATATTCCTCAATTTACAAAAACTTGTATTATACTCAATTTTAAAAAAAATCTACATCTTTTTAACTTACCTATGAACAACTCAAGTAAAGAGCATCATGCAAACTGGAATGCAGGCTTTACAAGAAGATTCTTACGGAAAAACAGCTATAAAGCTATACAGAAATTTAGGAAATCTAAGACATATAAGAACACAAAACTTTCCCCTATTGGTTTGTATTTTATCACGCCGGATAACGTCTATCGGGTCCGCTAGTTAGTAATTAAAAATATTTAAAAGTATTAATGGAGGTTGATCATTGCCTGCTTTACATTCCGGCAAACTAGAGCATCATCAATAGACAATGGAGCATGAGCAGTAGCAATTTTACATACAACAAAAACGTCTACTGCGCAAGTTTATTTATCTGCGGTACTACTCAAGAAGCTTCCCGCTACACATCAATCAAAGATTTAAAATGAATCTGTAAGCTCTTAAATCATAAGACTTACATTAAAAAGCACTTTGGACTTACCAACTAAACATGAAATTTTTACTTTTTTATACCTAATCTTTTACGAAAATTGTTCCCCTAAATCATATCTACAACATACTAGCATTAATCTAAATACATACAAATATTATGAATAAGTTAACATTTTAACCAACTTCAAACAAAAAAGGGGGAGGGTTCTATATTCGTAATATATATATCTATATAATCATTTTTTTTTATTTGAAAGGTTATGCTACCGAGGTGGTTTCGTACTCACTCAATCCGGACCTGATGATGATCTATCAGGTCCTAGGGAACTCTTCAAAAATTATGAGCATATTTATTGTAATTTACCAACCATCTGGTGACGTTGAAATGATATTGAAGACCCTAGATGGCCACCAAAGCTAACCAATAATATATACGCGTGCAATACGATTTGACAACAACAACACTGCTGACAACTACTTTAATTAAAATTAAGTGGAGCTGATAGTGAAATAGGTAACAGGACAACTTCTCACAAATCAACATCTCTGAGTCCCTTCGTCCACTGAAATCCGTTGCAAAGGTCCATTCATGGTTATTTTTGCACTCTTTATGTCCACTTTAATCCTTGTCGAGAGTTTTTGCAAAATGGACTTATTGGAACTGACGTTTATCTGAAAATTTATTAAAGAGTAGGTGACAATTTAAACTCCCCTGAAAGGCCCTTATGGTCAGAGGCGTCCCCTCACGGTTGTTTTAGTGAGTAAGAGTCTGACTTAAGCCTACGGCCAGCTGTAGGGTATCCGTAGTCATGCGGATTTCATATCCGCTGCCCAGTCTGGGAGGAAACAAATAATATAATTACCGGACAGTGGTTTTGATTTTGGGATGATTCTAACCTAACATAAACTTTGACCACAGTGTATCCTTATCATTCTATATATGCACTTGCAATAATTTAAAAAGATTAATAATTCCTGCCATCTGAAGATGTGTGTTTATTTAAATTACATAGCAGAAAAAAAATGTCGGTAAATTTTAATCACCAATAAAAAGCATTAAAGACTTTGACCATCTGTGTCCGGTCGTACAAATTCACGAGATAAGATTGCATTTATTAGATCGAATGTAAATGAGACAGACGCTTTGGTGATTTTTTTTTCAATGTGCTTATTATGACATGTTAGGGATGCTACTAAATATGAACATACCTATAGATATATGAAATAAAATCCATAGCAAATTTATTACTAATGGTAAGTATCCCCGTCCGTTGTTTTTTATTTCATTTTACACATAATCCGCTAATTGTTTTTTTTTTATGTTCAAAGGGTGGCAAACAAGCTTATGGCCCGCCTGATGGTATTGTAATATGAAAAATAATGAGTTATATACGGCTATATTCGACGACCTCCGTGGCCGAGTGGTTTTTACGCCGGGTTTTTGGTGTCGCCGACTCGAGAGGTCCCGGGTTCAAATCCCGTTGGGCAGATGTTTGTTTGATGAATACGAGCATTAGTACTCCAGTCCTGGATGTTTAATATGTATTTCTATACAAATATACTTATATATGTACAGTATATGTATTCTATCCTTTATACTAGCATCCCATAACACAAGCCTTACGGTGCTTACTTTGGGGCTAGGCTAACTGGTTGTTGTTGGTTGTGTTCATCAATTTTTAATTTTTTTTTGTTTGTTCAGTTTAATGTACAGACGAAGCTATAACAGTTGCACTGTGGACTCTGCCATATTTCGCGATATAGAGTCAAAACGTGTCCAATAGTAGTCAAATAAAAAAAAGCCAATCTTTGAAGAAATCTCTATTACAGCCTTATCATAGCTCTACATCTGGCCTATAACATGTTCTGTATCAAAATCTAACTCACTTGGATCTCAACATTAATGCAAGTGGTAAGGAACGACGCAACGCAATAGAAACATTAATTAAGTCCTCAAAGGGCATGCTGCTAGGGCTGCCTCTTCGTTGTATTTATTATTGAAATGTCATTAAAAACAAGCTACATACGCGTTGGCAAATTTTAAGTAAGTTATTAAACGGCGTTGCAATGTTAAGAGACAACAGACAGTTAGTAAATTGTACTATGTAGGTAACCTGGTGAATTTGTTTTGTGGAAGTTTTTTAACAAATGAAATAAATACATTTATATCAGACTATTGTTTAATCTTTAGTCAATACAATCTACCGGTTATAATGGTGTGATTGATGCTTATCCATGCTCGCTAAAAGATATCACAAAACTAAAATACAATGATTACTTATAAAAGGTTATCTTTTGTGCGTTAGCAGAGGAGATATTATCTCCGCCACTATACGACACTATATATACGTGATGTATAGAAACAAGTCAGATTTATAACACTATAAGCAGTAAACAAACTCAATTAATAAAACTTAATTTAACTTAATAACCTAAATTTTGTGACCGCAGTATAATAACACTTACTTTAGGTAGTCTTGTGTTTCCGTCGGTGAGTAACTTTCCAGTGCTCCACTAGGTAGGTTTATGTGTCAGGGTAGGCAAAGGCGCAAACAATATTATTGAAATCGTAAGCTAGGCTTACGATATCATACTTATTTGCCACCCTTTTAACATAAAATTTGATACAGCAGTTTGATCGACTTTTATTTTAGATCACACTAAAACTAAAACTCGACAGACTATAAAAAACGTGCGGAGACTAAACGGTTTATTTAAGGTATTCTGAAAATATTCTATTTTAGCTTGTTAGAGGGAGGACATAGTGAATTATGTGTGCAGTCCTTTCACGAGTTTTTATTGCGAGAAACGTCATCATTTTATAATTTCATAAAGTATATTATACGATAGAGTCCTTAGAAAAATGGTAAATTAATTAGAAATATAATAATAATATAATTAATAAGAAACATTTAATATTCGGGCAACCCTAATACAACGTGCGCCAGCGCAGTGCAGGCAATCAACCGGTCGTTGAATCCTGCGAGCGGGCGATTTATCTTCTGTTTCGTTGTTTTTTCGGAAAGAGCAGCACGGCTAATTAGAGTAAACCGTTTCAAGGAAGTCCATTTAATTTGTACTAGATACTTAAATATTTAAATAGGCTAGCATACCAACGTTTGTTTAGTTGTTATCAATACGCAGTGATTTATTGTGTACTAACTCTTGCTTACATTCATCTAAATAAGCTATATTTTATTATGTATATGTGAATAATGAAATTCATACCATCCCTTTAACATTTAATTTGGTGAATAAAATATCATTATGTCCTACTAAAATCCTTATCCATACCAAAACTAATACAAACAAACACAACAATATACATTAAGGCATTTATGTATAGTAAACATTGTCATGATTTTCCTTTTTATTAATTTCAATATAACGATCACAAATTTTACAATATAAAATGACTTTCAGAAACTTTCTTACTCGTACAACAATTCTGATATGACATGCTTCAGGTGATCATTTTCTACTCAGGAACCTAGTACGTCGGGGTGATGTGGCTAGTCCGAATCTACGACGTCTCATGTACCTCATGTGCCTCTCAACACTAATGGTCAGTTTTCAGAGGATCCCACAGGAACCTAACAAATGTAATCAAAATCAACAACATTGTGTAAAAATTTTTGCTCTCTACTTTTTCTGAAACTGTGCTGTTATAATATGGTGATGAGATGAGAAGCTGCATGTACGTACCTACGGTAGATACAATAATATTCATTTAATTATTAAGCCAGGATTCCTTTTGCGGATTTGGCAGAGCAGGAGTTGTGGGGTAAAGCTCTTCTCCATAGTTAAGTTTTCACACCATCATACTCACAATTATCATTTGTGCCTAAATTCAGGGCAATACTGAAAGCGATTTCCGATATGATGTTAAGTGCTTGCTCTTACAAGTAAAAAAACTGGTGCATTATGTTTTTTTCCTAGTCCAGTCTGTTAATACATAAACAGTGCAGACAGCCACTGGTAAAGTTTCCGAAAACTATAAAAAAAATCAAATAACTCTGATAAATATTCATTATCTATTCAGAAATATTGTGGAAACTGTATGTGTGGCTACAAGTATATAAACCAAATTTCATGCTATTTTCAAGGTATTGGGTATTTCAAGAAAAATAATGTATGATCAAAGAATCAAATTTTCATTGATTTTTACCGTAACAAAACCGTTGAACTGAATTTTCCGAACACTGCAATTTATAACGATCGCGCGGAAATTTCGATAACCCGCTCGATCGCCGATAACAGGAAGACATCATCGCATCATTTTTTAATTAGGAAACCGGCTCGGTAAAAGCAGCCTTCCGTCATAGCCGGCCGGCAGGAAAGCATCGGCAGCGAGTAATAGTATAGTGTTGTATCGAATGCAGAGTTCGCGCATCGCACGCGCATCCAGTCGCACCACGCATTCCGTACAAGACGCCCGCGGACTGTCACTGTCAAAAGTCACGGTCATTAATACGTGTGTACCTACCATCTTCCAACCTAACGGATTTTGACAACCCTATTAATAGTCTGTGGTCAGTTAACGGAGAGGTGAATCGAAGCTTTGTATTTTGATGATTATGTGACATAATAATTTAAATGTGAGTCATCGTATCTGCAGTTGATTGCAATAGTTGTCTTCTTTTTAAGTATAAAAGTTTAGCAGTTTATTTCAGTTCTTTTAATGTCATAGATATTTTAAACAAAGTAAAACATAATTACCTATGCTACCAAAATTAATGAGTAACATCAATTAAATAATTGATTAAACCTGTCTTTCTATAAATTGTGTTAAAGGTACTAGATTAAATAAGTGTCAAGTGACCAGAGCAATTAGGTAGTTAATTAAGAAAAAAAAATATAGAAAAACATAATTCCGATCTACTAAGAATTACAGTCGTTTCAAATCTTACTTCCGCGCGCTCAATTAATATTTACCCACCGATCTTTAATTGTTTTATAAATAAATAATTTCTTATTAAGCAATGAATACCTAAATTATAAATTTCAATACTTTCTAGGTAACAGTACCGGTAGATAACTCACAATGTCTAGTCAAATTTTCAAATATTGACGCACACAATAAATTTAACGCACAGCTCCTTCACAGATTGTATTAAAATTATGGCAATTAAAGTGTTAAGTACGATTTAACTCAGATTATGTAAAATATTTATTAAACAGTCAATGGCCTACGAAACATACTGTTAGATCGTCAATCAATATACAGTGCATGCGCACATTTAAATTATTTGTTAACATAATGACGTCATTTAATGACTGAGGAAAGTGAACTTAGTCTGAACAGAAAATTAATACATGGGTATAACTAAGTTGTTATAATGAATTCTTTGCGTACATTGTTTAATTAAAACTTAATTCCAAGTGCTTTTGAATGTCACTATAGGTACAGAAATTTTGCTTGCAGATGGTGTAAAAATATAGGGCAGTGAAAAGTTATGAAACATTGTTATTGAATTATTTGGCTTTATTTGGAAGTTAACAAAATGTTAATAAGGATGCAAGTGAGATTAATCGTATTGGTGGCTGTGGTGTCACTGATGCCGATGGTTATCTCGAAGACCCGAAAGTTGTCGAAGAATCAAAGTGCGCCATTGTCGAAGGCTAGATGCGATTTGGTCTGTTTCGAAGCCAACAAAGAGAGTAAGCAACAGGTAAACAAAATGTACACCTACACAATATATACGTATATGTATCACTCGACAGAGAAAAAAAATATGATCCTACTAGTCCTAGTAAATTGTAAATGTGAAAGTTTGCATGTTTGTTACTCAATCACGTAAAAAGTACTGAACGAATTAGGATGAAAATGGGTACGCATATAGTTAATGATTGGGATTGAAACACAGGATACTTTTAATCCCCGAAAATTTTAGGTACCTGTGGGATTCTCAAAAAAATAAAAGTTAACGCGGACGAAGTCGCTGGCGACCGCTAGTATGAAAATAATTAACGTAGTTTCATTTGAAAAATACCTCGATTTAGTATTTAGTAGAGTAGATTAGTAAATGGTTTCTTTATTCAAAATTAGGAAAGTTTTAAGATGAATAGATAATAATCTAAGTTAAAATTCATAATTATTTTCGAACTAAGATTATTATCTTACTTAAAATCAAATTTTTAATCAAACATAGATGTGTAGCCGTTTCGCGTAAGTTTTTCAGGACAATTTCGGCACTAAGTCCTTATTATTGGACCATCGTGCGTGTCTCGAAACATTCCTGTTTACTCCAGCCAGCGTAAGTAAGTCCAAAAGGTAAGCAGCCTTGGGAAGCTACTGCAGGCTTTCGGAAGCGATGCTGGGACTTGAGAAATCGTGTCCGTTGATCGGCCGTACTCCTGCATTCCATAATGACATCTGTGGCGTTTCTGCTGTCTCTATGCATCCTCTGCATAGGGGGCTATCTGTTACTCCTATTGTATAGGTGTTTGTTTATGGGACAATGAGTCAGGGTTCCTATGATCAAAATTTCCAGGATGTAAGGAAACCTATCTCTCAATCCAGGTAATAAACATACACGAGTATTGTCTTTATTATTCAGTATTTATTCAAATTAAGCATATCGGTATATCGATTGTGATGTCGTTGGCTGTTTAAAGAATGGATAATGTTTTGTGATCATGGAAAATCATCTTGACGACGAAACAATGGCGAAAGTTTCTAACAATACCAAGATGTTCGTGTTTATTGCTTTTTCTATGAAATTCTAGCAGTATTAAAGTTTTTTATATTTGTTAGCTGTATTATACATTAATCAACGATATCTATAAGTACAAAGTACAACGTTAAACATTTAAATATATTTCTTAAATATATAACACTAGCGGCCGCCTGCGACTTTCTCGCATTATCCTTGGTTTTTGAGAATCCCACAGGAAACTAAAATTTATCCGTGATAAAAATTATCATTTGTCTCAACCTGGGTGATGAACTATATGCATACCAAATGTCATCCAAATCCGTTCAGTGATTTTTGGGTGATTGAATAACAAATATACAAACCTTGACATCTAAACTATTAGTAGGATTAAACAGATCCTATGTTAGACAGAGGCTACATATTCCTCATAACATGCCATTAAAGCAATTTCAGAAACTTCACTTTAAGTACACAACTGGTAACCTATTATTTAAATTGATCTGACTCGACCAATAATAAGTGTGCCATCATTAATTAATACTTATTACCCATCATCATTAGCCTTTAAATGGCTTTTGTTGCAATTCCCTATCGGTGTCATAGGGAGAAGGGGCCATTATCTACTACGCGCCTAGTATGGATTGGTGGGTGCTAACGTCTGCAGGCCAGCCAGTTACACATTTAATACTGTAGTCTAGATATAGAGGCTAAGTATGTTTCTAAATCAAGACAACATTGCAGTGTCGAGCAGACTGCCGCTCCCAAGAGCAAAAACCAGGAACCTGCCCAGCCGAAGACAGCCCGTTGTGGGCAGAAGCATGCGTAGAGGCCTGCAACGCTGATTCCCAATGCGACGGCACACAGCGGTGCTGCCACCACGGCTGTGGTTCCACCTGCAGTGAACCTACCGACCTGCACGTATTACCAGGTCTGCTTTATCTTGATAGTGTACCACAAGAGCAAATGCCGCCAGGGAGTTGCCCAGCCGAAGACAACCCGATGTGGACACATGCATGCGTAGAAGCGTTTTTCCCAATACGATAGCAAACAGCGGTGCTGCCACCACTGCTGTAGTTCCACCTGCAGGGAACCTACTGACCTGCACATATAACCAGGTACATATTATTACTATGTTATACCTCGGAAACGCATAACGAATTTTCGGAGTATGATGCGGCTTAACGCTGCATTCACCGATGTTCCTAGTTTTGTCAATAGAGGTAAAGCACTTTTCTCTAATGAGGACTTATTTTTAAGAGACTCGGCAAATTACCCCTTCCTATCTGATAGCAAGTGTGAGTACAGTCAAGTTGCGATATCTGATGCAGCAGAAAAGTATGTCGCTGCAGCCTTCCGCACTTTGCCTACCTAAACCCAATTCCCTAATCCGTGGAGCGTAGAACCTTACTCACCGATAGAAACACACCCATCGCCAAAAAGTATTTTACGGTACTTTACTGTTTAAATGTTCTGTAAGTTTGAGGTTTAATCCCCAGACAGGCAACTTTGTCAAACTTTTACTTTCCTTTTTTCCTACAAAGCAAATCTTGAACCACGTTCTGATACCTTATCTTAAATGTGATATATAATAACTATATAAAGAGAGAAAAGTATGTATGTATTTTATTGTAAAGGATTACAATAAAATAACAAATTTCCCAACAATTCTAAGGGAATGAGACTACGGGTGTCAAACCTGTTTCTTAAACCACTTAACTGATTTTGAAAACGAAATCTTCAATGTTTAAAATTGTAGAAGAATAAGTACAACTTTTGTTCTGTTAATTCCACGGATACGGGATCTCCAGGGGTAAAATTCTATTTATCAACCACTTCACCAACTTCGGAACCATTTTTACCAGATCGTACCTACGTATATACGTATTATTTCCGGATGCTGATTCGTGTCTACTTAATACAATACTCCCGTGCGTAGCCGGGACGAGTACGGGCGTAGACGAGTAGAGAGGACGAGAGAGTTCTTCAATAAACTTCTTCTGTTGTGTTAAGAGGGGAAAAGGACATATTGATGGATTGGCTGGTTGACTCATAACTCAAAGTCACAACCACTGGACCTAATTAATGAGATTTAAACAGTCCTTTGTATTGTCCAGAAATAATTTTAGACACACTAAGATAGGATTTTTGAAAATTCAGAACAGACAACAGACAGACGGCAGACATTACAAGACAGATGAACAGACAGACGACAAATGCTGATTCATTATGTTACCATAGTATTTAATACACCCGCGTGAAGCCGGGACGGGCCGCTTAGTATAAAGCACAAAACTTTTATCTAACGTTTTTCTGATCCCTCAGGTCTTCCGGCTTTGCCATTAGTTGACAAAGTGAAGGAGAAGAAACGTGCTACCGTCATTGAATGGTCGGATGGAGTGGGAGATGCGGCCAGAGCTGTTCCAGGGAGGATTCTGTATCTCTTGGAGGAGCAGAATCACGTAGGCCCCAAATACGAGGAATCAAAACTAGGGGAATGGAAATTGCTACTAAGAACTAATAAGTAAGAACAATTTACTTTTAAGGCTTTTTGGATTATCCTCGACGAATATGGTAAATTCTTCTAATATTATAAATGCGAAAACTAGTATGTTTGTAACTCAATCCCGAAAAAACTACTGAACGGATTTGGGTGAAATTTGGTACGCATATAGTTTATGACCTGGATTGAGACATTGGATACTTTTTATCCCGAAAAATTCCTGTGGGATTTTTAAAAAAACTGAAGTTAACGCGGTCGAAGTTGCGATGGCTGCTAATATATTTATAATCTTAATGTTATATCTATAATCTCTAATAGACACATCTATATAAGGTATTTTGTCCAGATTACCACCAGCATCTACCAAATTGTTTTCTCACACGAAACAATTAAGCAACTACAATCGACATTCACACTCTTAATAGGGACGAGGCTCTTAAACTTATCATCATAAACTTCCCGTATGACTGTCATTCTTCATTTAAATTCATGTGACTCTTAATCCTTTTCATGTCATCCATATATTTTTTTTATTATTGTCAGCTCGACTCAAGGCATTAAGTGAAGTGTAAAAGCATTCAAAAAAGTTTATCCTTCCCTTTTGTTACTTTTTTGAGACATGATTTTGTTTTGTTTTTTGCTGGCATTTAGCGAATGCGGTTGCTATATGATTAATCACTTTCTATTACGTGACTTCCGTACACAAATAGTACGAGTCGTATACAATAGTAACGTTCTTTTATAGAACATACTATGTTCATCGTTGCATAAAGCGATCGTGACTAAAAACGTAAAATTGTAAGTGCGTTAAATTACCTAATATGATTGCAAGTAATTTTTTGTCACATAAGTCAATAAGATATCAAGTTTACTTTAAGTAAAAAGTGAAACTGATTTGTTGAGCATGTTTATTTTGCTTGGTAATAAATATGTTTGTAAATGACAAGAATGATTTCCATGCCGATACTGTGATTCACTTTGTTCAATATTGAAATAACGTAGATCGAGAATCGATATGACACATTGTTGCAAACAAACGCCATTCTATTTGTTGAAAAATATTTACGTTAGCTGTTACGTTACGTGCGTGAAATTGTCTCAATTTTACTTTCATGATAAATATTTAGGTGTATTAGCTTTTTCCTCTTTTTAAACATTAATAATTGATTTATTATCATTATAATTAATATCCTACGAAAGATAAGCAGTAGTCTAGATAAAGGCTAGAAATTATTTTTTTAACAGAATATACTTACCAAGTTCCTCGTTGCAGTCTTAGGCCCGTATTACAGAATGACAACTAAGTGTTGATCTTTACTTGAGTACAGTAAGAAAGGGATGTCGCTATGTGCTATATATAGCGACATCCCTTTCTATCTATGCTCAAGACTAGTCCAATCACTGAGAATCTTTCTATAATACGGGCCTTAGTACTAGTCTTCATACTAATTAATTTTTCCACGTCATCCTTATTGATGAAATAGTGACCTCCAACGAAAAAATACTGACAAAACAAATATAACTAACCTTATCCATCCACAGAAATAAAACCTCTCTAAAGAACCTTCTGAAGCCAGGCCATTGGTACCGGTTTCGAGTGGCCGCTGTGAGCGCCTCTGGTACGCGGGGTTTCTCAGCGCCTAGCGCACCATTCACGCCACGGAAGGGACCTCGACCTCCACCTGCTCCAAAGAAGCTGAAAGTCAAGCCCGTAAAGTCAGATAACGGTAAGAATTAATGCGTAGCTAACATACCCAACAAAGGCATCTAAAGAAAATTTTATTAAAGTAAAAACTATTTTGCGTGAGCGCCTCTGGTACGCCCAAGGAACCTCGACCTCCACCTGCTCCCAAGAAGCTGAAGGTCAGGTCCGTCAGGTCAGATAACGGTGAGTATGAACGCGAAGCTGACATTACCAAACAAAGGCATCTAAAGATTTTTTTATTAGAGTAAAAACTATTTTGCGCCTTTTGCTATCCACGCAAAAATACTGGCCTGGACCGAATATTTTTCTTTAGTTATATCCATCAGTTAAATGATTAAAAATATTAATATTTTACGTATGCAACAGTTATTATAATGCGAATTTATTCCGTATACGCCTAAATAAATTTAAAATGAAATAAGATGCACTTCGTTTGGCGCATGATTAGGCAAGTTCTGAAGGGAATAGTAGTGAGGATTGATTTCCTCAAAAGTATGAATTTTCATAACGACATCATCAACACGCATCTAATAATACGCAAAAGAGAGCTCAAAGGCTGCCATTGCACCGATAGGTCGTGAATAAAACATATCGTGACAAACAACTTCCCTCCTTTGTCCAGGTACAGTCACAGTTAGACTTGAGTGGAAAGAACCCAATTCCGATCTGCCGGTGATTCGCTACAAGGTGTTCTGGAGCAGGCGAGTAAAGGGACTGAACGGACCCCTGGATTCAGTGTTGGTGAAACATCAGAGCGTCCCTAAGGTGCGGGATTTAGTGTATCTGATCTACTACATTTTTTTTAAATGACTGTCCGTTCGTTTGTCAGCAAGTATCAAATGAATAAAGTAGACAGTTTAAATTTTAAGACTGTATTATATTATGCGTCAATTGCCGCTATTAGTTATCGCTTACGTATATTTTTGCTTGACATAACCATTACTATATTTCAAAATATTTGATCTCTCACGATGTACCTACCTTTCGTATGCAAGTCCGACTCGAACATCAACTAGTAAATGTATGCTCTGCCTATGCGTCGCAAGCGCAGGAGATGTTTTTCGTTGTTTCCTCCCAAGCGGGGGCGCGGGTGCAAAATCTTCATGGTTACCCTACAGCCGGCTGCAGGGTTATGTCAGATTCTTACTGAAACACACCCGTGGAGAGCCCGCGTATTAGTCCTAAGATTCTTACAGGCTTTATCTGATGCGAGCATCCCCTGAGAAGGGCGTATAAAGTAAATACTTCTGTATACACTGTGTAAACTCCGTTGTATGAAAAATCGATTATTCTACTTAGACAAAGTCGCACTCACTTGCCTCGCTTTAGAAGTAAAACTGAGTTTAATTTTTCAGGAGCGAAACTTTATAGACATAGAAGACCTGCAACCGAACTCTATGTACTTTTTGCAAGTTCAGACCATTAGCCAATTTGGACAGAACAAATTGAGAAGTAATAGGGCATCTGTTTTCTACAACACAACTAGTGTACATGAAAACCAGAGAATCGGTAAGAATTATACATACCTCTTCAGTTTAAAAAATAAATATTTTATGTTACCAATGACGTACGTATATAATGAATAAATTCTCAAATTTTGTTTACAGATATTGCTCCAGAATTCCTTCAAAGACGGGAAAAGAAAGTCAAAGGACTCAAACTCCACAAAATCATTTGGTATAACCACAAACTAAAGGCTAATATCACTTGGCACGCAGTTCCCGCGAAAGCCGATCAAATAACAAGGTAAATATTAATGTGGTCAAAAACTGACCAAGTAGGTGTCGTGCCACGCGCAGTGCAAGGATCCGTAGATATTGTAGTGTGGTTTTTAAATAGTTTTTTATAGATTTTGTTTTTCAATGCAAGGTTTTTGTACTCGTTATAAACAAGCAATTACGTCACTTTTAATGTTTTCTTCCAACGTTAAGACTGTCTATTAAGTAAGAAATTTTGTAAACCGTAAGTTAAATGACTAAAGCATTATTATCATACTACTAAAGTTTAATATTTTGCAAACGGATCCCTTCAAAGGATTGGCGCAGAAGATTTTCTTCCAAGCTTCCGATATACGGTCTGCTTGCTCAGTTCTGTTCTGTGTGGCTAAATTCATGCCCAAACTTGTCGCGCCCTATGGATGGTTTATGTCAATGAAAGACGATGTGCCTCAGGGTTCCGTCTTATCTCCGACAATTTCTTCGCTGTAAATCACTAATTTGATTCTTGAACCTCTTGAGAATATTATTTACTATGTAAACGATAGTACGCCTTGACAGGAGGGTCAAATGAGCAACGGGAGCTTATCATTGAGCTGAATCAGGTTTAAGACCACATTTCTGAATGAACTTGGGGTTAATAATAAAAGCAGCTACGGCTATCCCGAAATAGAACTTTTGCTCGCTTTCACGGCAATAATAGTCATTATTGCCTTTCCTTCCCCTTCCCCACCCACAGGACAGCGCGGGAGCTACTGAGCAATATTATCATTCTCGATATTGAATTTAAACCCAAAGAACAAGGTGTGGCGTTTCTCTTCACCTGAGCAACCGTGTTTGTTGTTTTAGAGCATATACCCTAAGGTTTGTTTTATAAGGTGCAAGTGCGATCCTGATGTGAATATTTCACGCACCTAATGTATAACTCCGCAAATAATGCAGCGGCGCACAACCTTCAGCATTGGCGATTAGGGTAAAAGCCTCGAGCCGTCGAGCCTCTAAAATTACTAGACGTAGATCGTCCTGTCGTATTTAATACACGGCGAGTAGGGAATTATTCATCCTTATCCCACCTTCCCCTATTCTTCAGAGAGCCACACCCTAACTGGCGGCCTTTTTTGTCTGGGAAATACCTTACGCATCCTTCAACCACCGAGAGAGACACGCATTGTGAGGACCAAGGTCCCCAATGGGTGTAGGGAGTGCGGGTTTGGTCGCGGCAACCGTTTCCGACTGGCCGCGCACACGCAGGTGTTTGTCCGCAAGCACACCCCATTTGATTAAGATACCCCGGAGTATCAGGGGCATCGGCATCCAGGAAGCTTTTGCAATGCAAGCCCGCCCTCCCCCAGGGCAAAGTCGCGGCTCCCACCCTGACTGGCTTAGTGTTGCCACCGACTTACTGTGCCAACTGGCTCCCATTCCATGCGAGCGATCGCCTCGTATGTAATAATAAATAACTAATAATAGCGAATAATCCTTGTTGCACTATCCACAAAGGTATTGCTTTATCGCTCACAGCCAACCTGGGTCATTTATCCTAAATAACTCGCATACCAAGTGGTGTGAATTGTGATAGGTTAAACTGCTGTACTAGCTCTATTGAGTCTGGCTCCACCGCCAATTAACATCAGAAGGAGTGGAGTGGAATCATTTGCTCAAAAAAATTACATAAAAGAACAAACCTTTTCCTATTTTTTTTTTATGAAAATGATTACTTACTCGTTGGATTGTTTATTTTTACAACCTACAATTGATGTTTCAGATATCACGTCCATTGGAAAATAATTAAATGCCAGAATTCAAATGTTTCTAAAAAAGAACTTTCAGCAATAACAGAGGTATGATATTCACAGAACCTTTATAATTTCTTGACCTATAAAAATCTACTAAATACCTTTTTTTTACAAAGAAATAGATCATTAATTAAAAAAGCAATGTTTATCACCGCCGGCGAAATTTAAATTTGGCACCAGTGTGAATGTAGCAAGCAATAAGATAACGAATGCAGAAAGCGCTAAAATAGTTGCCAGTCGCCATCTGGAATTACTACAGTATATTTTGACCTCAGTAGAATAAAATCTTTTTTGTGTAAACTATTACGTCCATTTATTTTGACTTTTCAGCTTACGTCGTTTGAAATCTATGAACTGAACTACAGGTGCAGTTATAAAGTAAATGTGAATACCGAAAGTAAATCGACACATCCGGAATCTGAATTAATTATTCATGTACCAGGCTGTGAATATTTCAAGAAGAAACTCAAATCTAACGCACTTCATTGTGAATCTTGATTGTAATTTATGTTCTATAATAATTTTATATAATTCTTAAATAGATCAATTTATAATATAAGGTTCCTACATATTTATGATGATATTTTTTTTAATACAGCAACAAAACTAAAATAATGCTTATCTCCTGATAAGCATTTTACAATTTCATTAGTAGAAATAAATGTTATAAGATATATTTCATTCAAAATTATTGAAAGCAATACCTAATTTATACGTTTTATTTATCTATATGCAATCGAAATGTTAAAAAAAAGTCAAATGTTGATTTTACCTGTTTTTTTTAATTCACGACAAAAAATAAATACATATTTAACAATGGGCCTCATAATAGCACAATTCGCTAAATTTAAGTTTGACAAGAGTGTGTCTTTATCACAGTCTATAGAGAATGAGAAAGAGAGACTGATGTTAAAATTTGTTTCAGGCCCATTATGTACTGACAATATAATCAAAATCGTATTATAGAACTTTATTTTTTGGATTACATATAAAAGTGAAATAATTTTATAACTGATTACTGTAAAAAAACAGCGTTCAATATAAGTGACACCGTTTCAAATTCATACTGTACGTTAAATGACTATACATATTTTGAAATAATTTTAATAACAGCAAAGTGACGTCTTTTTCTACTACAAACTGTATTATAATTAAACTGTATTAGCCATATACCAAGTTACCACAATCTGTAAAATTGTTTTCAAAAGAATGTATCTGTAGTGTAACAAGAACTTTAAAGCTTAAATTCAGACCGCGAAAATTGACGGATTTGGGTACTTAGTCTATGCACTGTCAGTGGTCTTGCTAGATAAAAAATCGGTAAAGGTCTTTAATACTGAAATATAGTATTGAATTTAGCAAATAAGTAACTGTAATAAAATAAAAATCATTATTTTAAGGCAGTTTCATTATAATTGTTATTATGATCTAAAGTAGAACCCTAACCTTTATACCTAAGTCTTATTCCTACCCGTTGGAGTCATACTACATACCTAACTCATCGACAGAATGAACGCACCACAAAAATAAATATTATTTCATTGTGGTCGTCGGTAAAGATATTATACTTACCCAGACTAGTGCTTTAATTAGGACAAAAATACACTGTGATCTATCACATAAAAAACACACATTAAAAAAGTTCAAGCGACATGCAATAATTACGCTATCAGCAATTTTATCAGTTGCTATTGTGCACTATCGTTATGAAATATACTATTTATTCAAATTTCTTCTTGTTAATGCACTAATATTTGGTTATTATTAACTATAGAATATGTATTAAAAATCGGTCAGAAGTTCAAAAACTTAGTTTTGCTTAGAATCTTTTGATGATCTATATATATATATATATATATATATATATATATATATATATATATATATATATATATCGCGTTCTTGGCCATATAAGACAAAGATAACCATATCACTCATAATATGTTCGAAATGTATAAAGTTTCATCATCCTCAGAGTCATAGTTACACTGTCACTATCACACAATATTATCGTCGTTACTTTTTCGTGAGAATTTATATCTAATAATAACTTATTCACGTTTTCGTAGTATTTCTAGTTTAAGCCAAATTACCTCCCATATCCCCTTTAACTTTTATACATTCAAAGCAAACCAAATTATTGAAAAGCAATAGAATTTCGTTAGTTTATTGTAATTTGGGATGCTTGCATGGAACTGTCCCCACCCTGCTTTATCCCAATCTAAGGCTGTAATATATGGATGAAAATAAAAAAAATAAAAAAGTACCCTGCATTAATCTCGGCGAGTGCCTCCCTCTGCGCGATGGAACGGATCTGCCTCAGCTCTGCTGCAGCTGGTCACACACCGCACTCCCAAGCTTCGACCAGGCCTTTACGCGACTAATGTGTTGTCTCGCGAAGCAGACAACCTCCATATTTTGTAAAAGTCAGCCTCGCAGGACCCAATCGTTACCCCAAGTTTCAGAGCAGTGGGCCCAGCATGGATCCTTGGGTACAGTTCCCGAGAGAGTGGATACGCCCGTCGGGCCCTGCTTGAATGATTATCCTGTCTCGCAGGTATTCTTTCACGATGGCGCACAAGTACGGAGAAACGCGGTGAAAACGATGTACCTCCGTTGGAGTGACTGTTGAATGCGTTGTGGATGTCCAACGACACCGCAATAACAATAGCAATAGCCGCCTTGGTTCACACCTTCAAGAGGGCCACTGCATCATTTGTGGACCGGCTGGATCGGAAACCGAACTGGATAAGTTCGGCCCCGGGCTTTCCAGGTGCACGACTATCCGGCGTGCCAGGATCTTCTCTAAGAATTTCCCGGCATTGTCAAGTCCCACAATCGGCAGGGCTCTCCTTCTTCAACAGGCAGAGCCGCCCTTCCAGGGATATCCCTGGAGGGGCGGATGGAGGAATTACCCTAACGTATGTAAACATTTCAGGAAAATTCAGAAATGCTTTATGAAATAAATAAAATAAGGGGCCTGAATATAATATCTTCAAATCAATAAAATTTTTGATAAGGTGAAAGCACGTTCAAAATAAACTCCAGAATTGCTTTAATATCGAAAATAATACTTTTATATTAAAATAAGTATGTACAATCAATGACTTTAAAAACGGCCTCTTTATTATTTATATTGAACGTACAGTTACTTTTTTCTACCATATTAGTTTGGTTTCAAAGAATCTAGCAACACCAGAACCATTTCGCAAATAACTTCAGTGCGAACTTTTTCAACCCTAGTAATGTCAAAAGCAAATACACTATTTTCTCGTTTTATCAAAATTATTGGCGATTTCGCGATTAAAAGTTATTGTTAATTTATAGTTACCCCAGTTTGCACTCAATTAAACTATAAGCACCCCAATATTATAAAAGTCTTGAAAATATTTTATTCGAATTTTAATATTAAATTATAATCGTATTTTATATTTTATAATGCACAATTTAGGGTTTTTAGTGTTTTTTGGCGAATTATTTACTCTTGTAACAGAAGACTTCCTCTATCAATATCAAGTGGTGTTCATTTAATAGTTAGTGACTTAAAATTACGAATTTGGTCCCTGGGCGTAACCTTTTTATCCTCGGGGCGAAAGGCTGTGCTAATTATGATATAAATTAATATTTTGTGAACAAAGTGGACAATTTTGTGTAGAAGATGGCTGAAGACGAAGTGCTCTTTGACGATGTGTACGAACTGTGCGAAACAATTGGCAAGTAAGTAGATATCAGTTAATTTCTCATGTGATGGTCAATAATTACGCGCGCGTAACTTTAGCTCATTTTAAATTCTAATGTTCAGGTAGTATCCCACTACCTAATAAAGAAGATTTATGGTATTGAATAAATATTCTGTATCACTATTCTTAGTTTGATGAACTGTAAATTATGTTTGAACATTTTGAAGTTATTCTTGTTTACATTAAGTTTTAAAAGTGGTAAAGATGCATCAAATTCATTTATAATTGAAACAATTTTATGAATTTATTTTCGGCTTATTCCTGTGAAATTACTTTCCAATATTTCTAAAATACACTGATAAGGGCATGGTTTTGTAATTAAATTATAGTATTTTATTCAAACTCAATTTTATATTCAATATCAAACAAGGATCATGATAATTTCCATTATTACAAAATCAAAGTTAAAGTAAAGTAAAATTTAAATAAATTGCCATAACAGAATTATTACTTATCAGAATGGTTTTTGTTTTTCAGAGGACCATTTAGCTTGGTTCGGCGGTGTGTCCACAGGCAGACAGGCCAACAGTTTGCCGTAAAGATTGTGGATGTTGCCCGGTTCACTGCCAGTCCGGGTTTAAGCACTGCAGGTATAACTTTCTATTAATAAATCATCATCTATTCAATATATCTTTTAGACAGTGCTGTAATTTATTGAAGCATTAAATTATGGATTAAATAAATTTAATTTTAACACTACAAAATACTGTAATCTGTATTAGTAGACAAAAGCATAGGTTTCATACATTATCTATTGCAAAATGTTATAAAACTTTTGAACTTTATTTATTGTAATTAAAGTATTCTGACATAATAACAAACAAAGTATACTTCTGATGTTGATTTTTTTATAATATGATATTGAGAATGAATTACAAAGAGACATGAATATAGAGAGGAGCACTCATTCATTACCAGTTGCTAGTCTTAAGTAAAACTAATGTAAATTTAAAAACTATACTTAAACAATGCCACAGTCAAACTTTGCAAACACAAAGTGATATTATTCCTATCATAAAAAAATATCCGAATTATAAAATAGAAGACCTAAAAATCCTATGTCATTGATTTATATTCTATTAGTATTATTTGTTTTCTCTATTATAATAATATATATTTAATATATGAGAGTAAATAGGTTCCTTCTTAATATGTAGCAAGCTTACCCAAGCTTGCTACACTGGAGATCGCATTGCTGCTCTCGGGCCAGATAGAGGATCAAGAGCAAGCTCTTGTTTTGTTAAAAATAAAAAATTAAATACTAGAAAAAACTTAATTAAATATATTACTATGTTACAGATTTGAAGAGAGAAGCCACAATATGTCATATGCTGAAACATCCTCATATTGTGGAACTCCTTGAGACATACAGCTCGGAGGGCATGCTATATATGGTTTTTGAATAGTAAGTATAACCCCATATGATTCCATTCCTAAGAAAGACCTAATACTCTGTCAGTAGGAGGTATTAACATACCAATGATATCTCCTTCATTATGGAATCAAGATAATATCATATTTTTTTATATGATAATTAATGATGTGTTTAACAGTATTTCATATCTGTTATGTTCACTATTTCAGTATGGATGGATCTGATCTTTGCTTCGAGGTAGTTCGCAGAGCCACTGCTGGTTTTGTCTACAGTGAAGCTGTAGCCTGGTATGTATTCTTTTGATAAATAAAACTAATAATTTCTATGGTACAATTTTTACAATTTTTTTCTTTTTTCTGACATCTATCGGATAAATACTTAAAAAATAAAAATATAACTATGATACTATGTCTATGATTATGATGATATATAATTGTAAATTTTCCATCTTTCACAGCCACTACATGCGTCAGATACTAGAAGCGTTACGCTACTGCCACGAGAACGACATAGTTCATCGCGACGTACGTCCCCACTGCGTACTGCTAGCGGGCAGAGATAACTGCGCCCCCGTCAAACTGGGAGGATTTGGAGTGGCTGCACAATTACCCACGCCCACTTCCAATAGAGCACCACCGGGTGAGTTCATCCTAGTCTATGACACTTAGGAATGATGTAGCTTTGTAGCGGTGAAATAATTTTAGAAATCGGTTCAGTAGTACCAGAAATTGTAGTTGTTTTAGAACATCTTAAAAAACTACTTTTTATGCTATTAGTATGAGTATGAGAGTGATAACATCCACATGGATTTTAGAATTTAAATCATATTAACTACATGATTGGAGAAATATAATACCACATAAATCTTATACTTCTCTGTATGTCTATATGGAGATCAGAATTAAAATAACTAAAAAATGTTTTATTGTGACGTAAAATGCCGAAAGTCTACCTGAATATGAATTAAGTCATATATTTAGTATTTTATGAATACCACAGGTATCTTGAGAGAGAGAGATCAACTGTCTGTGTGCCAAAGTTCATCTAAATCAGTTCATTGGTTTTTGTGTGATTGAGTTACAAGGTCAAGTCTGAATTTAAAAACTTGATTATTAAAAATGAAATCAAACAAGAATACAGAAAATTGTGTATTTGTTTTATTTATAAAGTTTTGTTAGGCAGGTACCTTAATATATATTTTTCTTTTGTGGTCTGCATCTACATATTTAGATTGACTTGAATTCATATTGTAGGTTACTGTCAACACATTTTATCTCAGCATGTTTACTTTCTGTTGATTATTTCTTTTCGGTGACACTATGAAGCTGTCTTCTATGTCCACTCTCTGTGATGTTTGTTCAATTGAAATGGTTGCTTCTTGTGTAAATTTGATCATATTGGAAGTGAAGAATGCAGATAATAATGATTGTGGAACTCCAAGTAGCAAATAATATTAACTGTAGCCTGCACTTCACTTGGGTATTTGTGTTTGCTACTTTGAAACTTGACATCGAGTCTGTCCTTTCCAATGTTTATATGGCATGATAAGGACAGACTTGTCAAATAGCAAAAAGGAATACCTAAGTGCAGTGCCGGCATGAAGAAACAGAAACCTATTCCATATACAATATGTTGATTCATGAATTATGATTTACTTTTGTATGCAGTTCAGAATTTGCAAAGAAGATCAGCAGTACCTTTACCTATATCAATTACTAAATGCTTTGATGACTGAATCAATACACAACTGCTAAAATAAGGAGTGTAATGTTTTCAGGGTTTATATGCGTGTATTTTTTATTTATTACTTCTAAAAATGAAGCAAAAAATAATATATCCATCAATTTTATTATGTACAATTTACCAAAGAATTTAGTTTATAGTCATTTCTATTGTATCACTTAATTTTTAAACACAGTACTTTTACCTATACCTAATTATTTGAATTCTCGTAAGATTCAAAATATTGACAGTAGGTTACATTGTACAGAATTGGTGATGGACAATCGACCGCTAATGGGCCCATTGGGCCAAGCGTATCTGAAATCAGACGAGTATGGTAAGGAGTTGGCACTTCGAAGCCACTTGTGACTCTAACTGCATGGACATTGTGTGCAATTTCCACTGGGGATCGGTCGAGCAAAGCCTTATACGAATCTCTGTCATTTTCAATGAATTGTAAACTTTATTCCTTTAGCTTAAAGTGACTTATAAAATCTTGAACGCCCTTTTTAATAACATGAGTTTCAAATAAAACCATACTATTATGTCTAATTGCAGCAATTTTGCTAAATCGCAATTTAACAAAAACTGCATTTAGTCCATACAATGATGTCAAATTAATATTATCATTTTGATATTTTTTCATGGTTTAAATATAGTTTTAGTTGAATGGAGATTTAGCGAATTTGCTGAAAGTAGGCCTTAATATAATAATATGTGTACACTTAATTTAGTATGCATGAGAACATTGTTTAATTGTTTATTTTGCGTTATTCATAGAACTGTGTAGCTTTGTTGTTGCTTATATTGTTAGCATACATATCACCGAGTATATTAGTTTTCACAGTAAAATTATACAAGTTAAATTTATTTGTTAATATATATTGTTTACTTTAAAATTAAGAATTAAATTGCTTACAGAACAAGATATTATGCTAATAGTGTAAGAATCTATTTAAAATACATAGAAAAATTATTAAGACAAACATTCCAGTTCTTAAGGTAAAAAAATAAAAAAAAACTGTGTAAATTATTTATATAGTTAGTTATTTCAAAAAAAGAACGAAAAAGGCTGGAGAAGGCCGGTTGATGGTAGCCGATTTTAGCTTCTCAGCTTCCATTTAAAGTGAGAGTTGTAACGGGCGCCGGGAAGCTGGTGATATCTCCAGGTGTCCGGAATAACTTACGGGAACATCGGCCTTTAATCTCAAGTCCAGTTTTGACTAGGGTTGAATGATAAAGGTGTTTTCCTCTTCAATTATTTATTGTGAAAGTGTACATACCAGATCGGATTCCAGGCGTCAAAGTACATTAAGTATTGGATTTACTTAGACTATTATGGCTGGTCCATGGTCAAAGATATCCAAATGATATTTATAAAGATATCATTTAAATTAAAGATGATAAAGACAAGATAAAGAGTATAAAGAGCTGAAACAAAAGAGACATTTGTGAGACCAGGCAACATGGCTAGATATACCTATGTATGACAATTTTAATCTTAATTCTTACCTGCAATCGCAGCTCTTTTAAAGTTTTACTAATGGGCCATTGGCACCAATATTAGTTTGCAAAAATGCGATGAGCGCATTTTTGGAAAAAGAAACCGAACTATAAATTATTATTATATTTCACATTTTTAAAAGTGACTGTTCGTGTTTGCAAAGAACCGAAAAGTAATGTTGCCAGGTCGCACTTCCAAAAACGCCGCGAGTCTCAGTGTTGGCGCATTAAAATTTAAATTTGGGCATGGACAAACCATAAATTACAAAAGTTTACAATTTAGAATAACAATTATTACGTATTTATTTTAATGTTTTATGAAATTAAGACAATTTTTAAAGATGTTTCGTTTATTAAAAAAAAAAATAGGGAAAATCCTTAAGTGACGGATGTCAAACCATATATTATTTATCTATGTATGTGACGGCGTAGATACGACGTTACAATTCCCCCCCACTAGATTTTATAAAAATAACGAATGTTATTTTTATAACATCCAACTACACCTAACAGTAAAGAAAGAGGAAAGAAAAAAAAATGATTACTTTATAATAATCTAATAAAATTTCCATTGACTGGCATGCAACTGGTTAAATATGGTCGGCACACTCGCCCCATATAAAACAGCAAGTCAATTTAAATATGAAAACAAAAGTTATATTAAAATTAATTTATTGCAGAAAATATTCCAATATACGGATTTCTTGTTATGCATTGAAACGCTTCTGGTTTAGAGTAGTCAGCACCATCGCCTTACACTAAACATTCGAATACAAAGAAGATTCCTAATAAAATAAACTTTATGAAAGTTTCAAATTCTTAACACATAAATGTGTGGAAATAGGAAAGAGAAAAAAAACGTTCTACCGATTCAACCGATTTAGAGTAGTCGGCACCCTCGCCTTACACTAAATTATCGAGCAGAAACAAAAATTACCAAACACAATAATAATCGAGTTGGAAAAATAATTATTGTGTTACCGAATACTACTGATTCAATGCAGTCGGCACCTTCGCCCTACATAGAATGATCAAGTAACTACAAAATTAAATGCAATCTAATACAAAATGAATGCATTTCAAAATACAAAAGGAATGCACTACAAAAGAATGAATGCATCACAAAATTAATGCACTATCGAATACCACTGATTCAATGTAGTCGGCTCCTTCGCCCTACATAGAATAATCGCATAGCTGCATAAAGAAAACAGAACGAGTTATTTATAAAACACCGTCTGGGAAAATGGAAAAAAAACAGAACGAGTTATTAATGAAACACCGTCTGGGAAAATAGTATGTCAGTCATAAGACTAACATTACGAATTTTTTCCAGCAAAGCTGTAGGAAAAACACAGAACATTCTAATGATGTCTAGCAAACCTATAAAATAAATTGTACCAAATCAAGTATGAACTTGATGGAAAAGGGAAAAAGGGGACACCTAAAGGTGTAAAAGTACCTACAGATCGAGGAAAGTCGACTGGGAAAAAGTAAAACGGGAAAGTCCGTCTAAAAGTCGCGTCCGTGTAATAGTTCTTAAGACTACAGACTAAACACAAACACCTAAACAAACTTTACAAAATAGTAAATTAAATAGTAATCCCTAAACTTCAACTATTTATACAAGCGAAATAAACATTATTACGTTATTAGTAGACTATTGTGGAAGAACAACAGAAGCTAATAAGGAATAAACGTGGAAACAAGGAACTCTAATCCATTAATCTAGTTAATGAATAAAGACCAGAAATAAAGTATTAAGGATCTCCAAAAGTTTATAAGTCTTTTAATAATAAAACGTATAAGACTTGGAAATTTAAAACAAAAGGTTATCTATATAAAATCCTCAAAAATATGAGATCTTATAAAAATAAGAAGACCCAAAACAAACTAAGATAAGATCCTATGATGCTAGAAGCAAAATCAAATTCTTCAAAAAAAAAGAGTTAAAACATCTAATTGCCAGATAGAATATTATTAAATTAATTTAATTAACAAAAATATGCCTAATGAAGTGATACCAATTTAATTTTTAAAACTGAGATTCTATTTCTCTGCTTTAGGAATCCTCATACATCGCCATTCAATATGCCAGCAACCTTTTATGCATCTTACATTCATCATCTCACAAGCTGGCCGTTTCCAAAACGCAAGTGAAAAGAACCAAAGTGAAATTTAGAAAGTGAAAACCGTAAATGCCAACTATCAAAATGAACAAAATGCCTAATTATCTAAGTTATATTTTCAAAATATCTTTAATGTGGTATCTACCAGAACTATTTTTATCAAAATCTTTTAATAAATAAACATTATTTGAAATTTTGTCAATTATTTTGCACTTAACAAATTTAGGTGCTAACTTTGAAGAAAAGAAATGAATTGCGTTGGATTGTACAAAGTTTCTCCTCCATACAATATCTCCAACGTCATAGGAAATGACTTTTCGATTCGAGTTATAAAATTTAGCATTCTTTTTATAAGATTTTGCTAAATTATCAACAACTTTAATAAAAATATCTTTAAGTGAATCTAACAAATTACCATAACCGTCAGGTTTCTCAATATTAATATCAAACAAGTCATCTATAGAAGAATATCTATGCAAGGACCCATTCAACACGACTTCACGACCGAACATAAGAAAATTTGGAGTAAAACTAGTAACTAAATTAACAGTACTATTAATAGCACTTTGAACATGGGGAATAAACTTAGACCATGTTCTATGATCATTTGCAACATAACATGAAATACAGGTTTCTATTGTCTTATTGAATCTCTCTACAGGATTATTCTGAGGAGTGTAAAGGGTATTATAAAATATTTTTGGAATATTATAACCTTTTATAAAATCTACAAATATATTTGAAGTGAATTGTGTACCGTTATCGCATATAATAATTTTTGGACAACCAAATTTTAAGAATATTTCATGCTCTAAATTTTTAACTATAACTTGGGAAGTAGCATTTCTTAAAGGAAAAATCCAACAAAATTTTGTGAAAACATCTACTACTGACAAAATGAAATTATGTCCAGAATAAGATCGCGGCAATGGACCAATTAAATCCATTGACAGCATTGTCATAGGACGATCTACTAATTTAGGATTACTCATTATTCCTAAAGGAGGTGAGTTTGAATGCTTATAAGCTTTACAAGTTTCACATTTACTAATATAATCTCTAACATCTTTAAACATTTTAGGCCAAAAGTAATGAATTTTAAGTTTCTCAATAGTTTTGTGAATTCCGAAATGACCTGAGTTTATATTATCGTGATTATCACGAATAGTATTCAATACTTCTTCACGAGGTATAACAATTTTCCAAGCTAAATTTTGAGATAAATTATGTTTAGGTTTAACAAATTTATAAAGAACATTATTTTCATCTACTTTAAAAGTTTTAAATTTCGAAGGATATTTTTGACAATTCTGAAACATTTTCCTATACCATGGATCATGAATTTCATCCGGTACTTGAGTAATAGCAGCAATTTCAACTCTAGACAAAGCATCAGGCACAGTATGACAACTACCTTTTTTATGAATTATTTTAAAATTATATTGAGATAACTGAGTAGCCCAGCGAGCGAGTCTACCAGAAGGGTTAGCTAAATTTTTCAACCATTTTAAGCTTGCATGATCGGTCACAACTGAAAACTCAGTTCCTTCAATGTAAGGTCTGAAATGTTCTATAGATAAAAGTACAGCTAATAATTCTCTTTCTGTAACACTATAATTTTGTTCACATTTTGAAAGTAATTTAGAAAAATAAGCTATGGGATGTGGATGTCCATCATCATCATCTTGCATTAAGACACTTCCAA